GGTGAAATGAATTTCTACAATACTGTTACTGTTAATTGTACTCTCTGCAGTGTTTAAATGCTTACATATACACACACAGTTACTGTCCCTCCACACATACGACTCGGTTCTGCTTCTATGCTCCAGCTTTGTCTACTATTTCCCACCGAGGCTTCTAGACTTCTGATTGGCCAACATTTCTGCACGTTAGGAATATATCGCCACCTGTTGCTTTGGCATGTTCCTAGCAGCGTTTTCCTTCATTTCTGCCTTTTATGTGTGGACGGGATTATTTTTTAAAATGAAAACGGAAAATCTCCGTATTCAAAAATACCCGTGTACGTGTGGACGTAGCCTAAGTTACTGCTTGGCATTGAAGAGATTTATGGAGGACATAGAAGGATGGAAGTGAATGATTCAGTGCAGTAACTCCAAAGGAAGAAACTGAAACTCTTAACTAATTACATATATATGAACACTTTATAAGCTAACAGCACGCGCTGAATGGAAAAGTCATCATTTAAATCAGAAATAGTAAGTAATCAAAGTTGTTGTATTCATTAAAAGATAGACATCACGGGCACCTGACATAGTAATACATTAATTTCACTTGATTTTGAATGCCGGTTAAACAAACGGCTGGTTATTACAAACGAAATACTTTGATTTAATTAGAGAGAGACTTACATCATGTTGGCTCAGCAGAGCAGCGTCCATTAGAGGATTGTGAGATTTCTTTCGAAGTCAAAAGAAAAAACAAAACATCCTGCCTGCAGCCTGAGAAACGTACCAGTGGAACCAGTTTCTGAAGAGCTTGCCAGTAAATATACAGTGTGGCATCACACACATACACACAGAGTCAGGTAATCTGATCTGTCTCCCTTTGTATTCCCGTGGGAATGTTTCTGTTTTTCTCTATGTTTTAATCACTCCTCTGTCTCTTCTATAGCTTATAATTACCTTTTTCTTTTTCCATGGTTTCTATTGAAAATGTTTTATCACTTCATCTATTTATTTGTCTTTGTAGGCTTTTTTAATTTTGTGCCCAGTTTACAGATTTCATCAAAGCACCTCTTTTTCACTATCTTTATGCTTGTTTGCAATTTGCACTTCTTCGTGCATATTTTTTTTCTTTTTATAGTCAATTTTCTGTTTTTGTTTTCTTAGTTTTCTGGCTCCTTCTCTCATCTTGTTTTTCTTTATCTCGTCATAGTCATCCGGTCTTTTCTGTGACCTAACTTGTCACTCTGCACTCAGCTAGGATAGACTATATTGGATGAGCTGTTAAGTAAATGGATGATTAGTAATCATTTTGATGTGTTTTCTAGTAGCTTTGCTCCTTCTTTAGTAATTTGTAGTTCATCCAGTTCATCCTGCAGACATATATTTTCATGCTTGTCACTACTGA